TAAGGATGCAATATTGAAGGTAGTGATGTAAATTGCATGAAGCAACTTTTTCCTCATAATTACAGATTTCATAAGCACATTTTATTTCACCTTCCTCTTGAAAGTCATGCAAAATCAGAGCTACATCACTGAGTTTGTACTCCTGGGGCTTTCACAGAATCCAAAGGTTGAGAAAATATTATTTGTTGTATTTTTGCTGATCTACATTGCAACGATAGGGGGCAACATGATGATTGTGGTGACCATCATCCACAGCCCTGCATTGTTCGGCTCCCCCATGTACTTCTTCTTGATATTTCTGTCATTACTGGATGCATGCACTACTTCTGCGGTCACACCAAAGATGATTATAGACTACTTCTATGAGAGGAAAACCATCTCCTATGAATGTTGCATGACACAACTGTTTGTGGTCCACTTCTTCACTGGGGCTGAAGTGATTGTCCTGACAGCCATGGCCTATGACCGCTATGTGGCCATTTGCAAGCCCCTGCACTACTCTTCCATCATGAACAGGAGGCTCTGTGGCACTCTGGTGGGGGTAGCCATGGCAGGAGGCTTCTTGCACTCCATCATACAGATTATCTTCACTTTGCAGCTGCCGTTCTGTGGAGCCAATGTCATTGACCATTTCATATGTGATTTGTTCCCATTGCTGAAGCTTGCCTGCACTGACACACACATTTTTGTCCTTCTGGTGTTTGCCAACAGTGGGTCTATCTGCATCATCATCTTCTCCTTGTTGCTTGTCTCCTATGGTGTCATCTTGTTCTCTCTGAGAGGACATAGCTCTGTAGGGAGGCACAAAGCTCTCTCCACCTGTGGATCCCACATTACCATGGTGCTTTTGTTCTTTGTGTCATGCATATTAATATATGCACAGCCTACATCTGCATTCTCTTTTGAGAAAAACACACTTGTATTTGCCACTGTGGTGACGCCGTTGCTCAATCCTATGGTTTACACTTTTCGGAATAAGGAAATGAAGAATGCCATCAGCAAAATGTGGAGGAGAGCTGTAGCAGTTTCTGGTGATTTTTAACATTATGCTGATTGTACTGGAAAGGTGTCTCAGTATGAAAAGTCCTAGCTGCAGAAACTTGAGGACCTTCATTTGAGTTCTGAAGCACTTGTGACAGAACCCATTTATTGCAGGGAACCTTTAATCCATTGCTTGAGATAAACTGTAGATTGCTAGAGATGAAGATTTTAGAGATATGTGAATCCCAGAGGCTCCTTAGAAAGCTAATCAATCTGAAAAACAGCTAACTTCATGTTTCAATCAAGGCATTTTATCAAGTAAATAAGTTCATGGGTAATAGTTGTATGTGATTAATGCCCTTCTTTGTCTCTGCATGCATGTACACAGGCAAAGCACTGTGCATACACATGTATGCACCACTCAGTCATACATATCCACACACAAACATACGCACATAATTCCACTGAGATAACAATGTAAGAATAAAAAAGCAATATTTACTTAATACTTCATAATGTACTCATCATAGAGAGAGATGACATCTCCCTACAGAGGGCTGGAGATGAGAAAACTAGATTTTCAATATCACACTTTTACCATGAATTGACTATTTAGGATTTTCATGTAAAAATTAAAAGCAGCTTAATTTTACATTCTTATAAATCTAAGCATTAGAATTTAGTCATTAGATATTTTTCCATTCATAAAATAAATGTGTATTTGAAATTTTGAAAAGAAACAAGTGTGAACATATTTTTCCCATTCTTTACAGAAGGAATGGGATTCAAAGAAATCAGATTTTAAGCTAGTTTTCAGAGTAGTAATGCATTTCTTTTTGGTGATTTTAATATTCTTAAATTTGTGCATCCATGGAGAAATTATATTAAAATAATGATCACCGAGTTCATTGAAATTTTTAAATAATACTTTATTTATCAATTATATTTTAAATGTATGTGTGTATTGCCTTCATGTAGGCAAGTGCACTGGTGTCATGCAATGCCTGCAGAGGACGGAAGAGGCTGTTGGATTTCATGGAACTGGAGTTATGAACAGTTGTTAGCAGCCATGTGGGTGCTGGGATTCGAACCTGGGTCTTCTTCAAGAACAACCAGTGTTCTTAGCCGCTGAGCCATCTTTCCAGCCCCCGATTTCATTGAAATTTAAACATAATTTATTATCTATCTCATAGTTAGGTTTTTAGGTGGAATCTTCAGTTAATTAATTTAATGTGATAATCTTTGCCTAACTCAACAAACAGCTCTAACAGACCAATTGACTTTTATGGGCAAAAATAATATATACTAATGCTGTGTTTGTCTCTCCTTGTTTTTTATGCCATGGCCAAATGACACGAGCATGCAGAAGATAAATGGGATTGCATTTACCTCCCATTAGAAAGTGTATATAGAATAAAGAATTGTAAACAATCATTACATGAAAATGTTTGCGAAGCATGGGTAAAGTGTGTAATAATTACATGAACAAACTACGGTGGTTTGGCTCCCTGTTCTCTGTCTCTGCCATCTGTGTGACTCCCTGCAGTTGTGTAGTCTTAACATCCTTACCCTTCTTATAGACGTTCTGTTCGCCAAAGAATTAGCTTGAGAAATGAAGACCTGATACTGTTCGTGCACCTGTGTGATAAAGTTGTGAATCCAATGTTTGAAGTGAATATGTGAACTAAAATATTATGCTCTGCACAGTGTAGTTACCATAATAGGTTCATTCTGTTCCATCATACATTGAATCCAAACTTTAAAAATATCTATTTTAATTTCCCACGTCAAATTTTGGACTCCGAAAAGGATATTCTTGGAGAAAGGAAATTACAATATGTAGATAAGAAATAAATGAAGGGCATTTACTTATCATTCCTTCTACTTTAAAATTAGAATTTATTATGACTTTCCTAACAATAACTGTTTTAGCTTTTCATTTAATTTTCTATGTTAATTGCTTGGTCAAATTAATTAAAATAGTTTTAGCTATGGTATATAAATCTTATGCTAATACTAAATACTAGCTTATTGTAACTTATTGTGAAAGTTTTAGGAAAAACATTTTTAGTATTAAAAATGAGAATGAAAATGTATCTTAGTATATAGAAGGCAATAAAGGCTTGCTTTATAATTTAAAGAAATGATTCAGAAAAAATGTTACAGTGTACGTCAGATTAAAGCACTGTTTTGCTCAAACTCTTACGATTCTCTGTCCCTAAACACTCTTACCCTTATCAAGGTGTTTGGATCATCCTCACAGCCTTAGACTCTCTCAACTTCTCATTCTCTGAATCTCTCTGTGTCTGTGTCTCTCTTTGTCTCTTCCTTTCTCTGTGTTACCATAATTTTATTGTTCTCCTATTGTCTAACTTCAGTAAATATAAAATCTATAACAACAAGAAGAAATAATGAATTTGAGAGAGTCCATCAGGGACTCATGGGGGAGGTACACAGGAGGAGCTGTGGGAGGAGAGCGAGGGGTGGAAATGATGTAAAAACGTTACAGGTTTGAAATTCTCAAAAAACTGAAAATTTAAGTTAAAAGTGATAGTATAAAACAACTTCAAGAAGTATACTAAATCATGTTAAATTTGGGAATGGGAAATGTTTCTGTTTGTAAAGAACTTTCTGTAAAATGTGAGAATGGGAATTTAGATCCCATGTAACCATGTAAAAAGCCAACAATGGTGGGGCAGGACTGTGATGCTAGTGCTGAGGTATTGAAGATGCACAGTTTTCAAAGTTCTCTAGCCAGAACAGTTGGTAAGCTCCAGTTCAATGAAAGAGTCTGCCTCAAAAAATGAAATGGTGAAGAGAGATCAAAGACACCCCAAGGCTGACCTCTTTCTTTGATTCAGGCTAAGCTCTAGGATGATGATTTTAAAATTCAAAATATCAAATAATTAATTTTTATACTACTTAGTCCTCAAATACAAAATAAATTATTTCACAGTTTTCAGTGGTTGAATGATGCCATTTGAAGAAGATACCTTGTGTTTTCTCCAAGAAAATTACTGGAACATGTAGACCAAAACATCAGTCTGAGTTTTCATAAATACCAATATTATTAATGATCAATACTATAATCCTCTAACCAGCTCCTCACAGGCCTTTGTGGAGCTCAAATCTCTTCACAAGAAAAATGAGCCCAAAGACAAATATTTCCTCTTCTTAATTTTTCAAACTTCTATTTTTTGCTTTACTACCATTTGAAAAGAAAAAAAATGGTGATATAAATGTATGGTGATTTGGCTGTATATGAAAATGATTATTTTTCCCGTGTGCAATGGTAACTCTCCAAGACTTCTAAATCTCTAAGCCTGTACCATCTTCTGGCTGTCCACTAGATATCCCAGGACTTTGCTTAACTCTGCTCCAGCCATGCTCAACAATTGTTGTGTCTCCAAATGTACCTCAACAGGCTCATTTCCTGACTGTTCCATGTCATAGGCTGATGTTCTTTTCTCTTTACAACCTCCACTGGAAGTATTATTTGTGGAGAGAGAGCCTGACTCTTATAATTATCTCAGAAGTCATTCCTACATTACTCCTGAACCACTTCCATGCTGCTCACTTTTCAGTATCACAAATTGTGTATTTATTGAATCATCTTATCTCTGAAAATAACCTTCTCTTAGTTTTCTGCATCAGCATCTTTCATTTATTTAATTTTACTATACTTTTTACTTAAGAAATTGTCAAGAACTTTACATGTTCATCTTTAGAAACATCTTACAAATTTTTCATGTTTAATATATGAAGATGTAATTTTAAATCAGTAAGAAACTATGAACTATTCGCCATCTTGAAACCCTCTTACTTATATTTCCCTGACTGTGCCTCTGTTTCTCATTTTTATTTTATATTGTGAACTTAAAATGATTACATTAACTTTTACAACTCTATAAATATATTTCTTGGGCTGGATACATAGACTAGTATTTACTTGCAGAGAGGTAGCTCACAACCCCTATGACATCTGTTCCAGGGTATCCAATGCCATAGTATTGTCTCCATAGGCATCTGTATGTGCATAGTGCATGAAAACACTTACAGGTACTCATGCATACACATGAATAAAAATATATATGTTACATAATCTTCCATAATGTGTTTCACACTATTGTTCTCAAGCTATTCCATTCTGTATTTCTAATGGAAACAGATATTAGAGGAATAAGGAAAGCACAGAAAAGTGTAGTATAGAAGGTGCTAGGAATATTTGAAACTGAGGACTAGGGAGGTAGATATTTTTAGAATCTGATTATTTAATGATGTCAGTTGATGTTGCATAATTCACATCAGGAGGCTCAGATTTACAAAACTACATTAAAATTAAATAACCCTTACAGGATGAATTCATTAGCTATGGAATTTATCATGGTTCTGAAAACCATGTTTCATATTTTTTCACCAATCAATTAAATTTTGCATTTTTATGTGTGTAAGTAGATACAAAAGGATAGTGTGGGACAATTTAGAAGCTGTATAGTGGAGCAGATTCCTTGATAATGTGCCCTCTCCAAAAGGGTCTAAAGAGCAACTTCAAAGTTTTGCTCAAGCTCTAGACTCACTGTTCTTTCCTGATATATCAAGCAGATCTTCCATGTGACCTTTCAGATAACATGAAAACAGAAAATGTGCTTCAAAAAACTCTCCTGGTGTTTTGCTTCATGTCTATAATCCCAGAAATACGAAGCTGAAGTCAGAAGATTGCTTTGTGTTCCAGGCTAGCCTAAGCTATAGACTGAAGCTTTTCATAGTAAAACATTTAAAAAAAACTTTAATATTTTCAAGATCATTTTTTCAATACATATTTTTTATTGAATTTTGATGCATTTCATAAAATACATCCTGATCATATATAGATCCCCCCCTATTATCTTCAACCTCTACAGACCCCGCGGGATTTCATGCATTCTGTCACATGTGAAAAAGTCTATTGAATCAAATTTGTGTCCTCAGCTGTCTCTCGTGTGAGTTCATGTACTGGAGCCTGTTCAGTCTATGTAGAGCAACTCCCTTAAAGAAAACCGAGATCAAGATTATTAAATCCCT